AGTGTCACTGGCCCTCATATGTGGGATCCGAACCGGGGCCCTCTGGCATCCCAAGCCAGCTCTTAACCAACGCGCCACTCGGCCGGCCCACTGAGTTATAGTCTTTTATAATAAACTGATGACCCAGTAAGTAAAATGTTTCTCTGAGTCACTGTAGCAAATTAATTGAACCTAAAGAGGGAGTTATGGGAACCTCTGGTTTATAGCTGGTGGATCAGAAGCACAGGTAATAGCCTGGGTTTGGACTGGTGTCTGAAGTCAGGGCAAGACAGTTGTGTAGGACTACACTCGTAATCTGTGGAATCTGATGCTGTCTCCAGGTAGATGGTATCAGAATTAAGCTAAATTGTCTGAGAATTGCTTGGTATTGTATGGGAAACCCCACCCCCACATCCACTTCTGAATTGGTACCAGAACCATTTTACAAACAGAGGCCATTGGAGCTCTTAAGCCCCACCCAACTCTGCTTCAAAATTACACATGGCTTCACAGGGTTTCATGCACAATGTCTGAAGGTATATAATGGCAAATAATCTGTTTTGTTTGTTTTTGGATTTTCTAAGCCGTGTGACTAACAGCTCAAATTCTTTCTACCAGTGAGTGCCCTTGAGTTTGAGGGTTGCAAAAATCCTCACTGCTTATGGTCCTTCTACACTTCTCCTTTGAAGCAGCCCAGTTCTACTTTTTCTTCTGAGAAGTTGGGGGTATGTCACCCTCTCTCATTTTCCCCATGAAAGAATTTTACAACATTATTTTAACTCCCATGTGTTTTCCAGGGGGGACAAAACCCTTAAACACTGAAACCAAATGGAATTAGGATTCTGGGATTGCCAGCACCAAGGTTTTGGCTGATTGAAAGGATCCTTGAAAACAACTGAAGGACTAAAGTCTTGGCAAGTCTTTGAACTTTCAAAATATCAATGTTAATACCAATTTCTTTGCCAGTCCTCTTCAGCCAGCTTCAAATTTCCATTACTAATCTTACTAATCTCTGGGGAGAGAACAATAGCCTGGCCTGATTAGGACTTCCCAGTTGGAGGGGAGAATGTATGTGCATCCCATCTGCTTTCTGTAATCAGTATAGTGACTGCCCCCCCCATCCCCCCACTCAGTCCCCAAGGGCAGTCCTATTCCAGGCCCACACCCACCAGGAAACCCACCAGGCCAAAATACTAGAGCCAACTCCACACAGCATTTCTGAGAAATGGAAACTTCGCTCAAGACTTTGAGGAAAGATGGGAAAAGTCACATTATATACACTGTTCTGCAAAAATGTCTAAAAACCCCCACACAAGCATGTCTCTGTTCTTCCTTTCCAGACACTATAAACACCAACAAAGGGAAGATACAGAAATGAGCCTAACAAATATAGGGAAGGAAAATGTGGAAGAAGAGAAAGAACAAGGGAATGGAAAATGCTTTTCTTTAAACTCAGGTGAACCAAATATCTTTGTTAACTGAGTTAGCAAAGGGGAGTCGACTGGGAGTGAGTGTGAAATAAACGTAAAATTTAAGTATTTGCTTCTTCTCTTTTCTTTAGAGCTCTGTGTTGCTTATGAACCATGAAGGTAAATCGCAGTGTCAGGAGAGTGAAGATGGTGGAATTCATTCCTTTCCAAAACTTATCTGATCGTCTATATGCAATTTGTCAAGAGAAGACAGAAGCCACACCTCTTAATCCAGGGATACATCATTTTATTGTGCTTCACTTTATTGCACTTCAGAAATATTACATTTTTTACAAATTGAAGGCAAGACCCTCCACTAACGAAAAGATTATGATGTGCTTTATTGAGATAGCCACTTAATTGCAGTGATCTGGAACTGAACCAGCAGTATCTCCGAGGTATGCCTATATAATTCTTTACTGAGGCTTGGTGCAAGAAATCATTAAGAGTTATTGATAGCTCTCAAGCTTTTCAGCTCCCAAGTTGCTCTTGCAAAAGGAAGAAGCTGTGAACCTGTTAGAGCCTCAATTCACTGCCCTGAACTTGAATGTCAGTGGCTTGGGAAAGATCACATTTGAATATAAATGCCTAGCTTGTTATCCTGAAATCATCTGAGTAATAAGACAATGCTACCTGTTTTTTTAATGGAAACCAAAGACTCTTCTTGTCTCAATGCCACTAGATGCCAGTCATCAGGGTCAGCACCACCCCCGGTATCTCCCTGCACCTGGACAGGGCATCCAGCTCATACATTACTGCCTGACACATTGCCCCCCCCATAAACACATCTGCTCAGAGCACTCCCCACACAGAACACTCAGTAAGTTCCCATTGCATGCACAGCTCAACCCATACTCCTTAGCAGTCAAAATCCTCCATCGCTTGGCCTCCATAACCCCCTGCGTACTGGTTCCTGTTCCACGTGTCATCCCACTCACTGTTGAGACTGGAGTGAGCTATTCAGCTCTTCTGAATATGCTTTCCATCCCCCCTCCTCACTCCTGTACCTTTGCTGAAATGCTTCACAATGTCTGGGGAGCTTTTCTTCCTTCCCTCCCTACACTGTGGCTATATTCATCTGGCCTAAAATTTCTTCAGGGTCCAGCTTAAATTTCACCACTTGCACAAATTCTTCTACCAACTCCTCTGTCACATGAATTTTGTCCTCCATTATAATCCCAGAGCACTTTGCACCAACACATAGCATCAGAGGGTGTTTGCTTGTTTGTTTTTAATAAATATTCCTAGATTACAATAGTTCATGCATAGCACTTACCAGTATCTGTCGTACTATACACTGACTTCTTTCTTTCTTTATTGTCTGTCTCCCCCACCAGAAAGTACAAAGCTTTTGTCTGCTTTGTTCATTGCTGTATCTCCCATGCCTGGAACAGAGACTAGCAAAGGGCAAGTATTCAATAAATAATTATTGAATGACTTGTGGATGCCTCGGGTTCCAGGCCATCCTGCTCATCATTCCGTCACCCCGGCGTGGCCAGCAAAGTGCCCAGTACCCGCATGCCTCTTGAATCGAACCGACTGAAGAGCCAGTCACCTGGACCTGGCCACGTATATCTCTTTTGCTTTGAAAAGAAGATGTAAATTTAACTGCAGTTATACAGCTGTGGTGCTGCAAGACAGGCAGACACGATGGAGGGTGAGACTCTCTCAGGAAAACTCTAGGTTAAACTCTTGTAGGCAACTCTAATTGCTAAATCTACTTAGGAAGAGGAAATGAGTTAAATTAGGAGTCCTTCTTGTAAATGAACCAAATAAGAAGCTGTTGGGCAAAGTTTTTCATTCCTCATTCCCTTCAATCAGCATCCTCAGAGAAGGTGGCAGGATAGCAAGACTTAGCAAGAGCGTTTCATTGGGCCAAAAGCTTTGCTCCCCTGACTGTAGAAACCAAAAAGAAAGGAAAACCTGGTCTTAAGCCAGTAGGTCCCTCTTTGGCATGTGCTTGAGAAGAAGCTGCCACGTGGTCTCTCCTGAGATAGTAAGGATTATCGCTGCAAAAGGCCAGCCTCTCAGTCTTGAGTCTTTGCCAACATGCTTCCAATTGGGAGGGCTAAATCCTCCTAATTGAGCAAAAGCACACCCAGCCCCCACCGAAGTAAGCGACACAGAAGCACTGTGTAATTCACCTCTATTGAAGAAGCAGTTACTTGTATTATCTGTAGTCATATGGTCCAGAAAGACTTTTTCCCACAATATTTACAATTTTTAATGTATTTGCATCGTCTTCTGTATCACAGGGTCCCCTTCCCTTTTTCTGAGAAACTCAACAAAAATATATTGAAATAAACAAATATGATAATATGAATATCCATATAAATCACCAACATCAATTCCAACAGAAATGGTATATGTAAAAAACAAAAACGTATAAATGCCTGTGCACTCATGCATGTGTATTCAGAAGTAGAGTGGTTAAAAAAAAAAAAAAGTAGAGTGGTAACTTTAGTGTCAGCTCTATCAAGATTCTAGGTAAGCGCTGTCGGTTACTGTGTGAATTATGGCAAGTGGTACAAAATCTCTAAACTTTGACCCTCTTCTGTAAAATACAGATAAAAGTAATACCTATCCACAGTTGTTTTGTGGAGATTAAATAAGATAATGCTGGCATAGCACTTAGCACTGCACCAATCATATAGTAACCACTCCATAAGTGCTGAATGAATAAATTAATAAACTGCCATACACCCTTCAAGCTACTGGTTCAGACCACATTTCTGAGACAATAAGACTTTTCTCATCCCCCAAACAACTGGGTCCTGAGACTACTGTTCACAGCTGTGTTGGTTGCAACTTATGGGGCACCGTTCAAAGTTCATGCCCCAAGGATTTGTATGTTCACTATTACAGTTTTACTGCATATTACAATGATTTTCTAATAGATGGGAAATAAAGAATCATGAGGAAGGGAAGACTTTGTCTACTTTGCACAAAGGCATTATATGGGCAAACACTGGCCCTGGGCAATAAAGACGAGGCACTGGCGCCAGCTCCCGGATTAGATGACTGGTTTCAGCCACAGTTGGGCGCATTCATGATACTCCAAACACTGTAAGCATTGTTGGACAGGGCTGAAAAGCTGCTCTCGCCCGACAGTCTTTGAGTTTCTAAATGTTAGCTACTGTGTTTGCTGTCCTTACTATCGTCATTTTTTTTTTTTACTATATTATTTGTTGTGTTCACACTCATCCCAGAGGCCATGCCTGTCTTCTAAAATAGTCTTTCAGCATCACCTACCTGCCATAATAAAAATCGAAAAGCCAAACCCAAGTTAGCACCTTGCCATCCAGAAGCTCGCTTGTCCTCCCTGGAATAAGGCCCTCTGCAGACTCAGCCTCCCTCTTTAGTCTGAAAACAGGTCCTGAGTCAGGATAGAGGACCTGCATTACCCAGCCAGCTAGCTGAGGGGTGACAAAAAGCATGGGAAAAATGAAGCAGAGGTCATGAATCTTGGCGAGGAAAGGAAGCCATCTGGTCAACCATCAGAGCAATCAGGGGTGGCCTTTTGGGTGGCTACCTGGGAACCATAAATAGTTACTGGGACAAGATTGGTCAGGGCTCCAGAGTGGGAGTCTCTCCTTCTTCAAGACCCCATAACTTGCTGCTTGTACCTTCCTGTTATTGACTTAGATGCTGCCTGGCCATCCTCCTGGAAGAAGTGTGTAAAAGGCGAAGGGCACAGAACCATCCATGACTCTCTCTTGATTGTTTATACCACAACAGGAAGTCCATGCAGGTGGATCACAAACCCATCCACCCACACTCATAACATACTTTACTGTATCTGGATTGTAGTGGTGGTGGTTATCCAACTCTGTTTTTGTCAAAACCCATAGATCTGCACACCACACAAAGTGAATATTATTGTGTATAAATTAAGAATGAGAGGTTATGGCAGACACCTTTGTTGCCTACCCAACAGCCTTTCTTCCAAACCCTAATTCTTTACTAAAAAAACCTGTTATTCAGGCATCTGTCTGGCTTAGGGGAGGCTGGACCCCCACCCCCAGCCTCTTGGAGATGCATCTTGATTAATCTAAGCCAATTGGTAATCCAGCTCCTCTTGTCACTAATTGGTTTAAGAATGACATTTGATAACATTCTTGCCAATCTAAGATGTGAGGGTCTGGGAAGCCTCTGCTTAGGTTCTGTATTCTCTTCAAAAAGGAGCTCTTCCCTCCTGGCTTTTGGTATTATGTGAGGATGTGATGCCTGGAGCTTGTACAGCGATCTTGTGAAGATGGGGCGGGGGGGGGGGGGGGGAGCGGGCACACATACAGAGAATGGCAGACCAGACAGACGAAAATCTAGGTCATCCTGCCAGCATTGAGCAGCCGAGTTCACTGATCCTGGAGTCCCAATCCACCCCTACCACCTCCTGACTTTCTGCTGTGGGAGGTAATACATGTTTTTCTCATTGTTGAAGCGGGTTTATTTGGTTTCCCTATTACCTACAGCCCAAAGCCTCATGATTAATACACTGGACCCATGCTGTTAGAAATGGGACAGGCATCCTTGTGTAGGCCAACAACACACAACAAGTGTCTGTTATGCCATTGCCAAGATACACTGTGTTTGTTTTCTTGCAGAAATTGTCTCTTGATTACATGTTGACTACCTATGGAGCCACTTGCACCTAATTCAACCAATAAAAACTGCTAGAAACTTAAGCCAACTATGCCTTTAAAGCTGTCAAAGTTTGTCTTGGTTTCTGTTCTATTATTGCAATTTTATGATAAATTTCCCTTTTCTCCTCTTTTTCTAGGTTCTTTCCTGCTGGATGCTGAATACTCCATTTTCAGCTCCTCATATGTGTAGTCTTTTGCTGAGTCTGCTCTCAGTGGGGTCTCCTATGACTTTTTGTTGTCTTTATCTGTCCGAAGCTTCATCTTTCTTGGTCATTTATCATCATCTGAAAATTCTATATTCTTCTTTTCCCTCATTTCTTGATCTTACATAAAATCAAGGTTGTCCACTGAAAGTTATATTTAAGAATCAATGTTAAGAAAACAATCTTTAAGTCCTCTGTACGTTTTAAAAAATCACTTTATTCATCACCTTAATGTTTTATTTTTCATATTGTTCTCTTGATTGAAAATGCATATCCAGGTCACTGGAAGTCTTTTTTTTTTTTTTAGCTGAGCCATCCTGCCACCTGTTGGCAGCTCAGCAGCAGCTCAGCTCCAGCCGGGACTCAAACCGCTGTTGCTCAGAACTTGCACTCTTGAGTGAGCTCTTAACGAACTGAGCCACTCAGCCAACCCCTGGAAGTCTTTTTATTCCTACTGAATTCTTTTTCATATTCAACATCTTTGTCCTTTACTAACTCAGATTTTATTATCTCCTTATTAACCCAACAGAAAGGGCTCCACCCCTATCCTTCCAGCCCCACCACTGTAAAATAAAAAAATTATCTGCCGCTGACATCTTGTAGGCAATATGCCAAGCAGGCACTACATCAAGCAGCCAACATTCATCAGAATTTGACTTTTTTTATATATCTCTCCCTAAAATGCCTACTGCAATAATTTGTTGAGTAGATGCTCAATAACTTAACTTGTGTTGAATTAACTCAAATTGAATTTTTATACTCACTACTAGGTGACAGACAAATGCATGCATTTTGGCTGTTTTGGAACACTTGGAAAAGGACATCAGTACTAGCAGCATGTTGAGATCCGAATTCCTGTATTCAGGCAACTCAGGGCAATCAAGAGCTGAATACTTATGATATGGGTTATCTGGTTCTAGTTCATTGCTTCACTTGCTTGCTGGCACCTCGGACACCTTTCATTCTAATATCTAAAATATTATAAAATATCTAGCATGTATAATTCATTAGTCAAATACAAGGAGCTTGACCCTAATGATAAACATCTAGGAATAATAAGGAGATTGCAACATGTAAGATCTTAACCTTCATAGAGCGAGAGGGAGGATGGAATTTGTGTGAACCTTCTCAAAATGCCCATTCAGTTTGTTATTTTTTATTGCAGTATGAAAGCATACAGCCTTTTCATATCTAATTTTTGTTTCTTCTATCATTAGTCGTCAGTTCTCACCTCTGGTGGTAGCCAGATTTTATTTCATTCATCTGTTTATTCATTCATTTGTTAGTCATGTATTGAGCATCACCTAGGAACAAGCACTGTTCCGGGTGCTCAGGATATACCTGTGAACAAAAGAGAGAGGACTCCTGCACTCTTGGAGTTTACACTTCATGCCGAAGACATTGGAATGTAATAAATCCACACACTAAATTCTTTTTAGATAAATGAGGCTGAGTAAGACACTGTTGTTGGACGGCCTCTCTGAAGAGGTGCCATTTGAAGTAAGACTATTTTAAAAGAAGACTTCTTATTTTTGGACATTCTTTAGATGTTTTCTTCTTTGGTTCTCTAATTGAAGTATCTCGCATGAAGGAATAGAAAAAGTGGAGTCTAGTGATGCGATACTGAGAAAGTCTCTTTACTTCTGTGGTCCTCATTTTCCATGACAGCAAAATAAAGAGGCTCGGTAATCAATGAGATTCTCTGTAGCCCTGAAGTTGTAACACTTCGTGAAAGTTGTTATTAGAGCTTCATAATATTATATTATAACTAATTATACTAATTATGTAATAAGATATTATTAGAACTTTACAATGTTTAATGATGACATTAGAAAATGTTAATATTAGAACATACGTCATAGAGAACACATGTAAGAAATCCCTCTAGCTACTATATGACTTTCCAAGAGTTAACATATCTTTTTTTTAATATCAGAAATCTAAGTGATAAATACTCTTTTTAAAAAAATTTTTAGGGCCAGCCAAGTGGCGCATTGGTTAAGAGCTGGCTTGGGATGCCAGAGGGCCCCGGTTCGGATCCCACATATGAGGGCCAGTGACACTGCCCTCTACAGCTAAGATGCTGAACAACAGCTCAACCTGGAGCTGGGCTGCCGTGAGTCGCCGGCGACGGCGTAGGCTGCAGCCCCTGTGACAGTGGGTTGCCATGGCTACCGTGTGTAGCCAGCAGCCAGAGTGAGTGGCCAGCAGCCGCTGTGAGCAGCTGTCCAGAAGCCAGTGACTGATCTGCCTCGCCCAGGAAGAACATAATGATGGTGCCAACTTGGGCCAGTGAAGCAACATCCTCCACAACTAGACTGAAGAACAAAAAGACAGCAACTTGTCTGTTCCCCTTCCCCCAACTCCCCAATAAGTATCTTTAAAAAAAAAATTTTTTTTAAACAGCTTTATTGAGGTATAATTGATCTACAAAAAACTACATATGTTTAATGCATATAATTTGATGAATTTGGAAATATGCCCGTACCTGTGATATCACCACAATCAAGGTAATAGACATATGCATTAATTCTACAAATTTCCTGTGACTCTTTGGGGTTTTGTTTTGTTTCGTGGCTGTTGTTACAAGAACACTGAGACCAGCCTCTTAAATGTTTACACACACAGTGCCCCAGTGTTAACTATAGGCTCTGTGTTGTCCAACAGAGCCCTAGAAATTACTCCTCTCACATGACTCAAAGCTCACACCCATAAATAACAGCATCTCATTTCCCTCTCCCTTCAGGTCCTGGAAACCACCATTCTGTTGTCTGATTCTGAGCATGACTACTTTCAGATTATCTTGTGTAAATGGAAACGTGCAGTATCTGTCCTGTGTCTGGCTGATTTCACTTTGTGCAGTGTCCTCCAGGTTCATCCATGTTGTTACAAATGGACAGAGTTCCTTCTTTTTTGAGACTGAATAGTATTCCGTTGTATGAATATATCATGTAACCCTGATTGGAAACAAGCAGTTGTATTTTCTTAAGATTTTAATTAAAATACAGCTAACATACATTATTATATTAGTTTCAGGTGTACACCACAGTTATTCAACATTTATATTAATGTACCTAAAGAATTGATCACCATGATAAGTCCAGCAGCCATCTGACACTGTACCATGCTATCACAATATTATTGACTATATTCCCTATTCTGTACATTACATCCCTGTGACTTATTTGTTTTATACCCAGAGATTTTAATCTCTTAGTTCCCTTCACCTCCCTTCCCCCCTTTTTAAATTTTTCAATTACAGCTGACAGTCAATATTATTTTATGTTAATTTCAGGGGTACAGCATAGTGTTTAGACATTTATATAACTTAAGCAGTGATCCCCTGACTGGTCTCGTACCCACCTGGCACCATACATATTACCATGTAATTGACTATACCCTATGCTTTATTACCCATGACTATTTTTTAACTACCAATTTGTACTTCTTGATCCCTTCACCTTTCAATGTGCCCCCAAACATCCTTACATCTATGACCCCAACAAATCATCTGACACCATACATAGTTACTACAATATTATTGACTATAATCCTTATGCTATACCCTACATCCCCATGACTACTCTGTAACAACCAATTTGTACTTCCTAATCCCATCCCATTTTTTCACCCACAACCCCAACCCCTCTACTGTTTGGCAACCATCAAAATATTCTCTGTATCTGTGAGTTTATTTCTGTTTTGTTTGTTTATTTCATTCTTTAGATTCCACATATAGGCAAAATCACATTGCAACTATCTTTCTCTGCCTGACATACTCCACTCAGTATAATACCCTCAGCTCAATCCATGCTGCTGCAGATGGCGAGAACCTATTCTCTTCCATGGCCAAGCAGTATTCCATTGTATGTATATTCCATATACATTTTTTCTTCTTTATCTATTCTTTATCTGTTCTTCCATCGACAGACACCCAGGCTGCCCCCACATCTTGGCCATTGTACACAATGCTGCAATGAATATATGGATGCACATGTCCCCTCAAAGCAGTGTTTTGGGTTTCTTCAGATAAATACCAGAAGCAGGGTTACTGGGACCTTTCGTGTCTCTTGTCATAACCTTTGTTTTAAAGTTTATTGTCTGGTATAAGTATTGTCACCCCAGCTTTTTTTTAAAGATTTTTATTGGGGAATTGGGGGATGGGAACAGCCCTGGGGAATTAGAGAAGGGGAACACACAAGTTGCTGTCTTTTTTTTTTTTTTTTTGTTCTTCAGTCTAGTTGTGGAGGACGCCGCTTCACTGGTCCAAGTTGTCACCACCATGTGCTCCTCCCGGGTGAGGCAGATCAGCCACCAGCCTCCGGACGGGCACCCACAGTGGCTGCCGGCTGCCCCCTGGCCGCCGGCCACACATGGCAGCCCATGGCAACCCACTGCCACAGGGGCTGCAGCCCACACCATCGCTGGCGACCCACGGCAGCCCAGCCCCAGGTCGATCCGCCATTCAGCATCCCAGCCGTAGAGGGCAGTGTCACTGGCCTCCACATGTGGGATCCGAACCGAGGCCCTCCGGCATCCCAAGCCAGTTCTTAACCATCGCGCCACTCGGCCGGCCCACACCCCAGCTTTTATTTTATTTTATTTTTTTATTCCATTTTCATAAAATACCTTCTTCATCCCTTTACTTTCTATCTTTCAATCTGAAATGAGTCTCTTGTAGACAGCATATATAAGGGTCTTGTTTCCTTACCTATTCAGCCCTCATCTGTCTTTTGATTGGAGCATTTAATCCATTTACATTGAAAGTAATTGTTGATAGATATGTAGCTATTGCCATTTTATTATTTATAATTTAGATTTTCTTTTTCCATCTTAAAGAAGTC